TTCCCCAAATCTAATTATCAAAAAGCAATTCATCTTGCTTGAGTATCTTAATCAACGCATCCCTGAAGCCACTTTCTCAATTCACTCTCCTGTCTGATATATGGAGTGTGTGTGCATATGTGTGTGTGTGTCTTTTGGTGAAACCTCTTAGCATATAGTGGGGGAAAATGCAGTTTTGCTAATTTTATGTCTTATTTCTTAATGACCTACTTTTCTGCAGCAGCTTTAGTGAAATGGTGAAAGCTTGGTCTGATTTTTTTGAATCTTTTACTTTGTGACTGTGACTCAGCTGGGTAGAGCAAAGATATTTACACAGTGGGGGCGGGGCAGTGTGCATCAGCCTCAGCTTTTGCTGCTTTTGCAGGGAGCTTACAAATTGTAGGCACTCAGAATAAGTGGCATCATTAGTGAACATAAAATGTCCTAAGGGTATGGGAATGATTTAGAATTCTGGTATTCGGTAAGGGGAAAATAGGGGCTCAGGTGTCTGAGAAAACTGGATCCAGTAGCACTGAAATGTGACCTTGGGTAAATCACTTGACCTTAGTTTTTCACCTTTAAAATAAGATGAATTTATGCATTTCACTTTTATTGAAATGCTGAAGGTTATCAAGGCAGTATTTGTCAAGCTCTTCATTTAGAGAATTATTTTAGGTAAGATTTGGCAAAAGAGTTTTTAACATAGGCAGCCTCATATCTAAGTTTCTGTATAAATTGCATATGAAGGAGTCACTGACAGAATAATTCTTTTGTTTCCCTAAAAAAAAAATACATAAACAAATAAAAGGAAGATTGGCTGGATCTTTAGAAATTTGGTCTTTTGAAAGAAACTCAAGTTAAATCAATTTAATCAATAAATACTTTGTAACTTAGGTTGAAAGATCAGGCCCACCTTAGTATTCCCATCAAATGTGAATCAATAAAACACAACCCAAGTACTCCACAGAGCTCCTGCTAGGTAATCCCTGTATTATGCACTTTTAGGTTCATCAATAGTCCTTGCCCTGCAGGGGTTTACATTTTAGACTAGCACTCTTTTAAGAGAAACTTCTATGGTGAAGGACATTCTCTACATTAATGTTGACTGATTCAGTTGACATCAGTCACTTGAGCACTTCAAATGTGGCGAATGTAAAATTAATCAGTTTAAGTTTATATAACCACACAAGGCTGTTGACTACCTCGTTGCATTTCCATTTTAATTGAAGACAACATTAATGAAGATAGAATTAGTAGTGACCATCCATAAGGAGACATACAAAGCAATGTCATTTTGGATACAGGGAGCTTGAGCTGACCCATATTGGCTAGGGTAAGAGAGAAGGTGGGAAAGAGAGGAGAGAATGTTCAGGCTGAGAGAATAATAAACCAATGACCAAAAGACAAGTGATGTTGTTACTAAACAGTTAGGTGATCATTCAAATGAGCACTGAAGGTTCTTACTAGAGCCAAAGAAAAAAGAAGACTGGACATGGGGTGGGCTTTGGGGGGGGGACACATTATTATGTAGTAGGCACTTTCTTTCTGTCTTTCTAATATAATTTAATTCTCACAACTAACTGATTATGTAGTTAAAACTATATCCTTATTTTATTCTTGAGGAACAAACTTAGAAAAGTGTATAATTTCTCCAAGGTCACACAGCAAGGAAGTAGTGAGCTGAGCTTTAGAACCCAGATAGCTTTTTTCCAGGTGCCACATTCCTTAGCCATCTCATTCTACTGCACTGATTAAGAATTTGTACTCTGGAATTTTCCAACTTCTGTGTCTATTTTCTGGTGACCAGGGACATCTATAAAGCAAGAATGAAAAAAACATATAATTTAAGGTGGCTGTGCTAGGATTACCTAAGGTATTGCATGTAGAACACCTAGCAGTGCTTGGTGCGTAAAAAGGACTCAATAAATCTTTGCCTAATTGTATTATCAGAAGTAGATTCAAAATGCAACAAAGAAATTAGGGCCAGCTTGAATAAACATTAATCAACCAATGGTACTTCTTGAACTGAAGATTGGTGTGTTGAAACTATTATGAAGGATAAAGGACAGAAGAGAAGAAGAAGGAGACTGGAATTGAGGAGGCTTCCAAAAGGCTGTTGCAGTCTTAATTGGGTCAGAAGGGTCACATTCAAAGATGGAAGGAATGTAATTGATTTTCTCCCTAGAAACAAAGTAAAACATGTTGATTGGGCATCAGTTTAAAATTTCAGAAAAGGACAAGGAAGACCCTCAAAATCATCTGTAATACCGCATCCAAGAGATAAACACCATCAATATTTTGTATATATCCTTCAAGGTTTTTATGTGTGTGTCTGTGTGTCCTAATTAACTTCTTAAATTTACTGTTATTTGCCTACAGTAATTCACACATTTGGGATGCTGTTCTATGACTTTTAAAACACATACACACACACACACACACACACACAGAGTCATGTAACCAAGAACAGTCAAGATACAAAATGATTCCATTGACCTAAAAAAATTCCTTTTACTGCCCTTGGGGTCATTCCTCCTCTTATTCCTATCCTCAGCTCCTGGTGTCCATGATCTATTTTCTGTTCTGATTATTTTGCCTTTTCTGGAAAGTCATTTCAGTAGAATCACATAGCCTTCTGAGTCTGGCTTCCTTCACTTTGCATAAGGCTTGTGAGATGTATCCATATCTTCACAGGTATGAGTAGTTCATCTTTTTACTGATGAGTGATATTTCATTGCATAGATGTATCATAATTTGTTTCCATTCATCAGCTGAAGAAAATTTGAGTTGTTTCTGGGGTTTGGCAATGATGAATAAAGAACTAAAACAATCAAAGAAAGGTTTTGTGTGGAAATAAGGTTTCATTTCTCTTAAGTAACTACATAAGAATGGGAATACTGAATCATATGTTAAGCACAAATTTAGCTATAAAAAAATGCCCAACTGTTTTCCAGAATGGCTGTACCACTTCATATTACCATTATCAAGTATAGGGTTCCATTGCTCTGCACCTTGAGCAGCCATTGGCAGGATCAGTGGTTTGTTTTTTTTTTTTTTAAGCCAATCTAATAGGAATGTAGTTGTTTATCATGATAGTTTTAATTTGCATTTTTCTAATAACTAATCTTGTTGGGCATCTTTAGTTGTGTCCATTTATCTTCAAATAGAGAAAATGCAATTTATTTCCAGTTTATATGCATTTATTTCTGTTTTCCATCTGTTTGTGTTCTCTTGAACCTTCAGTATTATGTTGAATAGGAGTGATATGGTTTAGATATGAGGTGTCCCCCAAAAGCTCATATGAGGAATAATGCAAGAAAATTTAGAGGTGAAATGACTGGCTCCTGAGAGCCTTAACTTAATCAATGCCTTAATACACTTGAATGGATTAACTGGGTGATAACTGTAGGTAGATAAACTGTGGCTGGAGGAGGTGGGTTTCTGGGGGCATGCTTTTGGGGTATGTGTTTTGTCCCTGGTGAACTGAATTTTGTCTCTCTATCTCTGGTTCCTAATTGTCATGTTCTGAGCTGCTTTTCTTCTCCATACCTTTCTACCATGATTGCCCAGAGCAATGGGGTTAGCCATGTATGGACTGAGACCTCTGAAACCATGAGCCCCAAATCAACTTTTCCTTCTCTAAAATTGTTCTTGTCAGGTCTTTTGGACACAGAAAAAAAAAAGAAAAGAAAAAAAAAAGAAACAAGGAGTGGTTCTAGCATTCATTCACCCTTACCTTATTCCTGTTCTTAGGAAAAAAAGCATTAATTCTTTCACCATTTAATGTGATACTAGCTGTTGGGTTTTTTGTAGATGCCCCTTATTAGGCAAAGAAATCTCCCTTTATCTTCTTGTTGACTCAAAGTGTCACAAATGGCTTATAGAATTTTTTAATGCTTTGATATGAATATTGAGATGATCACATAATTTTCCTTCTTTAGTCTGGAATTATGAGGAATCACATTGATTCTCCAGCATTAAACCAGCCTTGCATTCCTAGCAGAAATCCCACTCAGCCATGATATATTATTCTTTCTATGTTACAATATTTGAGTTGCATGTATGTGTATTTTTTTTAATGAAAAAAGCAGGATAAAGGTACTATATACAGGTATGTAATCATTTTTAAACATAAAAGAAATACATATTTATAAGAACATTTCTTCCTGATTACTTCAATAGAATTTTCCCCCTAGTTTTCTTTTAGTAAGGGAATAGGTAGCTATGCATATTTTGTTTCAGGTTCCTTAAATTCAAAAACTGGGATAAGCAAGTTCCAGCTCACACAAACCAACTCTTCTAATTAGCTAATAAACTCTGAAATGAATTATTTACATCTTTGACAAAATGGGAAAAGAAAACTGCTCTAAGTTTTGAATGTCATTATAAATGCTAAGAGCAAAGAAAAGAGAGTAGATCTCTGAAATGCAGGCCCTCTCCAGCTGTCTGAGAAGTCTGAAATCTCTGCTTTGAGTATAACCTTAAATAAACATCAGAAAACTCTGATATTTGTAAAGAAATCTCTTTCATCCATTAAAAAGTACTGTGTAGATATAGATATACCCATATATAGGTATGTAGATGGAGCATCAACAATCTTTTGAAAAATTATACTTTGAAATATTTTTCTTTTTATTTTGAGATATTTCTTCCCTGGACAAACAAGCCTTTTTATTTTCTTAAAAATTAGGAATATGAGTGTCCCCTATCCCAGAAACATGCTTTCAAGATTGATACTTTCTAGGTACCACTTCAGACTTATTTTTAGAATTCCAAGAATATGATTTTCCCCCAGGTTTTATTTTAGAAAATGCAGTCCAGTTGCTCTTCACATCCTCATAAAGGAAAGTGGCACAGCTTTCTTTTACATGTGAGGCAGCTCTCAAGATAATGGTCAATTTTGCTAAAGGCCTCCAGGATACTAAGCATGAATTTTTGGAGGAGTTTTGTTGTTGTTGTTCTTGTTTTTTAGGGGTATCCCTCATTCCCAGTCCTGAATTAAGACTACTCTGGGTCTCTCAAAACGTTTGTACAAGAGGATGAACTTCAATGTTTGCATCATTTCCCCTGTTTTATACTCTCCTCGCATAGACTACAGCTGAGAGTTTTAGAGAAAAGGCGCTTTCGGCAAGTGCAAAGTGGTATTGTCATGTTGCTACTGGAGCTGACTCTGAGAGCCAAGAAAATAGGACAGAATAAAAAGGAAGTAAAATAAGTCATAGTGAAACCTTCTCCCTCAGAGGAAGGAAAGCAAACATTGAAATATTGCTTTTTCCTGGCTGCTTATTAAAGGGGAAATTTGCCTACTGTGCTGGAAGAGTCTTTTATTCATCGTTCTGTTGATGTGAAGCATCCAACTGGAGGTTTGTTTTTGTATGCATAACTCATTCTGTTTCTTAAGGTGAATTCAACTGACAAGTGGGTATTGAACAGAGTTAGCATTTCTCTGATTAAAAAAGATGTTGGTTCGTTTTCATCTTCAATAATTTAAATTAGACCCCCTGAAACTATTCAATTTAAATGTTTGCAGCAAAGTTCATTCACATTTATGAAATATCTGAAGTCATTACAGGAGAGTCTTATTTTATATTAGTAATGGATCAACTTTTTAAAGACAAAATGCTACTTGGATATTTTGTGCAACTTAACATAGTTTTTGTCAATTTTGGAAATGTTTAGGTCCAGGGCATTGTAAATTAATCAACTAATATAAAAACCCTGAGTTTATAGGTATAGAATTGTAGTGCCACATTGTGCAATTAAATACCCCATATTCTATTTTCATAAGTCCAGGGTCATTGGTCTAAATTACAATTATATAATTTCTGTTATGATTGCTAGTGATTGGTATAATTTGACTAATTATTGCCTAAACAATGGAAGTTGGCTGGGACTCAAACTGCAACAAATGCTTTTTTTATGTGAGAGGAACAAGGAAACTGAATGCTTTTTTTTTTTCTTTTGTCATTCATTGAGGAGCTGCAATTAATCATAAATATTGAACTGGGAAGAGGGGGATAGAAAGCTTTCTTTATTTTCCAGGATCATCTTTCTTGGGTAGGATAGAAGGCAACCCTCCAGAGAAAAATAAATGACCATGTTTAGAGAAACATCACTTTGACTGACTAATTGGAAGGATGGTGGGAAAATCCCACAGGAAATGGTCCGGAGGAGCCTGTGACTTTTATAGTCAATACTCTTCTTAGGCAGAGCAAACATTCCTTTTAATGGCATAAAATCCATTTAAATTGAAAATACCATCTGCCTAACCTTCTAATCTGACCACAGGTTCAAGAATAACCATTGCCAGATAAGAAAAGAATAAAATGTTTCATGAAATACAGGGTGAACTTGTGCCTAGACAATAAGAATGTGATTACAAATGAGAATGCTGCCTTTTGAAAAGGTACTTGTACTTCTAGGTAGTTTTATATATTGCATAACTTACTAAAACCTTCTTAGCCTTTCCAATATTTTCCAGTAATTTCTTTGTCGGTTTTGACCATAAGCTTCGAATAAGTTGATTAAAAGAGAAGTTGGTCGTTGTCACTTTCCAAAGGCTTGAGATCCATGTGCATGCACAGAACTCCACAGAACACCACAACTCAGAATAGAAAGGTTAGGGAAGAAACTAGTGGGTACCATTTAGCTGTTCCCATGAGATCTCAGGAATCACACAGTCTTCCTGGGATTCCTTAGCATCTGTACTGAGGCTGAGAAACACACTGGTCCCTAAAGGTGAGAGATGGGGTATAAGGGAGAAGGTTCTGCTGGAACACCACAAGCTCTCAGTTCATAGTTGGCAGCAAGTTTCTTCCAGGCACATCAGGGCAGTGAGATCTTCCCAGAGAGACATGAATTCTGCCTGTCTTAGGTCCTCTTCTTATAAATTCTACATGGAGAGTTCTCCCATCTTCCGCAACCCTTTACAAGGAGCTCTAGGACTTGGTATGTGCTCACAAGAATCATAATTACCTGCCTCTGAACTTTATGTCCTCAATGCTAGAAAAACTTCTGTTGAAAGAAATAACAGATTAGGTTGGGCATGTCTTCTATGGTGGTATCACATTACAAAATAGTATGGTTTCTGCAGTACTGCATGTAATAAATTGCCTTTAGTGCAGCACAATATAGTATAAATAAAAACATGAGTTTATTCAAATCTTATTTGAATGTTTTATGTGGCTTACCTTAGATAGGAATGTCTCATTTCCTTGACAACTAATGACAGTTAGGCAGAGATAAACTTACCTTTGTAGAGTTGGACTTGTCAAAGCAAAAGAGGAGTTTCCTTTTATTCTTCACTACTGGAAAGTGGCATATCCTGCTGTTTAAATATGACAGATCCGGAACCCAGCTACCTGGGTTAAATTCTGATCCTGCCATTATCAACTACCAATCCTTGGATAATTTGCTTAATTTTTTGGAGCCTCAGTTTCCTTATCTGAAAAATAGAATGTATAATTATATCTACCTCAAAGGACTGCCATGAAGATTAGCCAAAATCATTCATGTCAAACATTTGATAGATTTTAGCTGCCATTTTAATGATTCTTTTCATCTACTTTGATATTTCTTCTTCTGGCCTCTCAGACACCAGAATTACTTAGAATTATGATTATTCAGAATTATTTAGTCTACCAAAATTCTGAGTACCTAAAGAACAATTCTAGAAAAAGTTATTTACTGTTTAGTTACAAAATAGATACATTTCCAACAAGGACCTATTTTCTTCTCTGTCTTTCCCCTAAGCATTGATAAGATGATATCTTCCAACCATAATTACATCCAAAGTTGTACAAGTGGGCCCAGACCTCCAAGAAGTTAGGTAAGTAAATGTAAAATTTGCAGGCCAAGCCATAACTTCGGAAGTCATGATTATAGAAGTCCCTGGTCTGCTTTGAACATACTCTTCTCTTTTGTCTTGGTAGAGCAAGGTCTTAGTTCTACCAGCCCTTTTCAGTCTCTTAGAACTGTTTTTTTTTTTTTTTTCACTTCAGAAGATGCAGGAAAGCGAGAAGGCAGAAGGAGCCTTGGAACCTACATAGCCTGGTGCCCACTTGGTCATTGATGGCTCATCAGTAGTTCAGTTCTGAAGTTCACAGTTTGAGTTGTGTGTAGATTACAGGTTATTAGCTGGATATCAAAAAAAACAGAAAAAAACCAATTATTTGGCTTTTTGGGTTATAGAATTCACAGATGTTATTAAAGGTTAGTATAGAATATTTTAAAAATTGAATTATTGATCTAAAAATGTAACATTTTTCATTTTAACTTCTGAGTTTACCTTACAATACAAGTAAATAGGCTGAAGCAATATTAAACTCTTTGATTGCAGCATAAAACATTTTATCTTTCTTGGATGCTACAAGATCATAAACTAAGGAAGTCAAAATCAATTTATGAACTCTCCAAGATCTTGCTAAGGAAATAGCTAGTAAATGCATAGAAAACATGTATTTATTCTTATGAAACATACAAAAATAATCTCAGTATACTTCCCTAAGTGACTCTACTATGCAATATAAGTTATGTAAGATTATGAATATATTGAGTTTACTTAATATGATACATTTGGGAATGGGGTATAATTGAAAGATTTGGGGATAAACTAGCATCAATTGAGTTGAAATGTTCCTTTTTAAATAAGAATTGTTAAATTATACTATAAGATGCTGGAGAAAATATTACACACTACCTAAATATGAAATTAATGTCTCCCTCAACATTGTAATAAGTAGTGCCTTTCAACTTAGTTCATTAATTGAGTAAATTGTTTTAGATGATTCAGATTTTCCACATAATAATATAACTTTTCATTGTTTCTTTTGCCAAATTCTGCTGCTAGATTAGTGTGTTTGAGCAAGCAAATTAGTGCCTCCTAGGAAGGTGTTGCTAAGTCACAGAGCAAAGAGGAATATTTCAAGGAAGTAAACAGTCTTCTGAAGGTGCAACAAGTTCACTTCAAGATTTTCCTTGTAAAGTTGGAACCACAAAGCTCTTCTGCAAGGGGTCTTTCTTCCCATTTGTAAATTGTGACTTCATTTGTACAACTCATTTTACTTACTAAATTTGTCTCCATGGACACTAATCATCCAGTATGCCATACCGTGGGCATTTTTATTCGAGATGGAAATCAGCAATTCTCAACTTGTTTTTAATATCTAGGAGCATGGTAATGTAAATCCGGGGATGTCTACTTCTTAAAAGAAAAAAAAACTCAAAATAATTTTGGACCTCAAGATGCTAATGAAAATTAGAGTAAATGACTGCACAATAATGTGATTTCTAAGATTTAAAATATTATAATATACTTGAAACATTCTTAGCTACAGATACAACTAACTGATTAAAGCAATTGGTTGCTAAGCAAACAACTGAATAGCCTTGATATAACTGAAGTCATAACTGTTTCCATCTTTGGATTCCCATTCCCTTCCCCCAAACCCATGACATTTGGAGACCTTGAGTTAATATTAGAAATTAGTAAAGAAATTAGACTCTGCTCATACATTTTATCATTGAAATGTTTAGGCTTTATAAACTATCATTTTAAAATGTGGCTTTCTTCAGCTCATTAAAATCATAAATGTGTGATTTTAGAAACTCTCCATTTTGCATGAGAAGAAATAAAGTTCAGAAAATTAAAAGAAAGTATTTGTTTTCCAAAATTGTTAGCAATAAAATTTCACCTAGAATCAAGATTTCTCTGAAAAGTATTGTGATTTTTTATCTGTACCTGACTATCTCACTGGCATAGCTCTAAATATCTTAAAGTAAGTAAAAAATCAAGGGAATGGCAAATTTAGAAATGACAATTTGGGATAAGGTCTCTGATATTATTTCTCAAAGTGTGATCACTTATATTAATCACTTCAAAAAAGTGATTAAAAAAGTAAATTTCTGCCCAGGTTCAAACCCCAGCACTGTAAAAACAAATATTTTTTAAAATATTAAATTTCTAGACCATTCCTCAGACTTAATAAACCTTAATATCCAGGGGAAAGACCCAGGAATATGCAATTTAAATAGACTTGCTGGGTATAGTGGTACACACCTGAAATCTTGGCAACTCAAGGAGAATCACAAGTTTGAGGCCAGCCTTAACAATTTAGAGACCCCACCTCAAAATAAAAAATAATTTAAAAGGCTGTATCTGTAGCTCAGTGCTAAAGTGCCCTGAGTTCAAGACCCAGTACTGATGTTAAAACGATGTTAACTCTCTAGGTAATTTTTATGTATACTAAGGCTTGCATTCCATACACCAGTGTGTTTTATTGGAATATTATTTAAAATGTTTTAAATTGGCTAATACTATAATACATAGTATATTATAATTATAATATTATAATACTATAATATATTCTTCATAATATTATAGTATTATGAAGAAATATGGAATGTCTGAGGTGTTTTACAGAGGAGACCTGTGTTGAAAAGGAAGGGCAAAGAGTTTGAGTTCCAATTCAGACACCACCATCTTGCAATATGGTCCTGGACAAGTTGCTTAACTCTCTGAGCCTCCAATTTTTCTTCTTTAAAATAA